GGTTAATTCCAAAGCTGCTATTTTCTTAACATATGCAAAACACTTATGATATCCAATGAACAGAAATGTAAAGCTATTATTAAAAGATATGATTTGTTGCTCTGAAATGCTGTCAGAATATTTGTCACTTTATTTCAGTTAAGTGGACATTGTGAAATAGCTCTTTGTTTTTAATGTAGTTCATCATTCAGTGCTGGTAGAGACTTTGAGAATTAAGCAGCATCAGAACCCAGAGGCTCTGGTTGCTCTCAGAATAAGATGACCAGATTTAAAAAAGTATGAGAAATAGGATGCTTATAGAGGAAAATGCAGGACTAACGCTGCTTTTGTGACTCACTTTTACTGTGTTGCTTTATTTTGCGGCTTCACTTAATATCATATTGAAAAATGACTTTAATTACAGCAACCTTCACCAAAGCTGTGTGAAAATCTCCTTTCATTATACTCACCCAATTATAAGCCATTCTACAGTCTTTGTTGCTGCAGTGCTTTTTTGTGTTTATGAAAAGCGCAGGTGAATATTCAATTTTATTTTTCTTCCCTAGTTTAACCCAATCATATGCGGGGCATTGGTTTGATCTGAGGGACAGCAGGAGGGAAGTGCAAAATTCGTCATAGTGTCGCACAAATCAGGAAGTCTTATCATCCAGTCTTAGAAGAATGTTAAAATTTGGCTATATGATGGGTAGACTGACTTGCTAAAAATGCTCAAATTGAACCTTCAAGTTAAAAACAGCTCACTTCTATAGGCATTGCAAACTTCCAATATATCATTCAAACCTCTGGTGTTCTCCTAGGATCAGTCCTTGGACTTATTTATATGTCCTCCTTCATGGACGTAAGTTTGGTTCCCTGTACATTTTACTGTCCTAAAACAATGCTACGCTACAATATACAGACAATCGTTGAGCATTAGGACCAAGCGGAAGAATGCAGCTCAAGCTAAGGCCCGCTTCGCTAAGTTTAGTCCACCTAAAAGCTCCTAATTGGCCCTCCATCGTCTTGTGTGATTGGCATTCAACCAACATCTGATGCGCTGCTGAAGCTGGTCTGGGATTGGACGGTCACAGCGCTGTTGAAGTCCTACCCGCTGCCGTAATTAGTGCTGTAGGGTCACACGTCCTTATTTCTGCTTTCTGGTGCGTTTTGGATTTTTGAGATAACGGTCCAGGAGTTACGGTCTTGTAGAAATACATGATCTGCAAAAATACAACAGATAGTGAGGGAGTCTCCTGCTGTAAATTTTGATTATTTTCTTCTCTTTGCTCACGTAATTTAGAAGGGTTGTAATATGAGGTGTATTAATTTACACAAATCTTTGAATAAGTGCGTATGTTTGTGTGAGTGTTGGTTTATTAGACTCACTGCCATGATGTAAGAGACTTCTTTAAAAGTCAAAGTGTAAGTTACATTCAAAGAACTGTGTAACACCCCTCCTAAAACACCTTCACTGCTCCATAAAGCAGCAAATCCACTTCAAGATCATCCACTGCATTTTAAAGCTTTCAATAACCTTGTAAAGTGTACTTGCTTTATTAATGTTGATAAGTCAAATGTATTATTGTTATATTTTATCATCAAAAAGGAAAAAAATACTATCTCTGAATGTGATTTTATATATCAAAGCTCATAATAATTGTAAATTGTGTTTTTAATCGACATGGATTGTTGCACCCGAATTCTCAAATTGTTCATTTCATGCATCTATATATTTTGTCAGGAGAGGGATAGCAGAGATGCAAGAGAAAGTGGAGGAAACAAACACAGAAGAACTACTAGAAAACCCACTGAACTCATCTATAATTGTGATATAAAAAAATACTTGCGTCCAATCTCTTATTGAAATGTTATACAGCTATCCAGATATACTTAGGATTTTTCCGTCTATAGAAAGACTTGAATTGGATTGTTTTTTTCCCCAGAAGTTTTAACATCTACTGTTTTCCCTCTTTAGATTTGTGCCAGAAGATGAACGGCTTGTCCATACGAGAGCTATGCTGCCTCTTTTGCTGCCCCCCTTGCCCCAGCCGCATTGCAGCCAAACTGGCCTTTCTCCCTCCAGAGCCCACCTATGCTTTACTCCCTGACCCAGATGCTGGATCTGGAGCAACAACTGTCTCTACCGCCAACTCTGGGGCTGCTCCCTCCTCCCTCGGAGCTCCAGGACTGCGTTCACGGCTCGGTAATTCCAGTGGATCAGATCGAGGAGGAGGAGGAGGTGGAGGAGGAGGTGGTGGTGGTAGTAGTGTTGGGGGAGCAGGCGGCAGTGGTGGGGCTGCCAGCACCAGCAGTAGTATCAGTGGGCCAGAAGGCAGGTGGAAGTTGCACCTCACAGAACGAGCGGAGTTTCAGTATTCACAGAGAGAGCTGGATGTGACTGATGTGTTCCTGACCAGATCTAGCCGAGGGAACAGGGTGGGATGCATGTACATCCGCTGTGCTCCCAATGCCAGGTGAGACATGAATCACCACTGAATGTGCTCAGATACACACTTCATAAACATATATGGTGAAAGCAAGCCATCTGGATTAGTGCCTGTTTGTTGGTTTTATTTCCGGCCCCGATTAACGTTTTTTCTTCCATCCTTTTATTCCCTTCCTCTCGCTCAGGTTCACAGTGTTGTTTTCTCATGGCAATGCCGTAGACCTCGGCCAGATGAGCAGTTTCTACATTGGTTTAGGTACACGCATCAACTGCAACATCTTCTCCTACGACTACTCAGGCTACGGTGTTAGTACTGGCAAACCATCTGAGAAGAACCTTTACGCAGATATCGATGCTGCATGGCATGCCCTGCGCTCCCGGTAAGGAGCAAAGATAGGTTTTAATTTACCTGTGAGACAAACGATTGACATCCACTGGCTCATTATAGTTAAGTTTAATCATTTATGTTATCAGACATTATGCAAGCTATTGGTGGCTCTTACTGTAACTCATATGAAAATTGTATACATTTTTGACCGTTAAACCATAATCTTTATTTCTGATCATGTTCATTTAGCTTTTTAAGACAGAAAATGTAGAGTAGACTGTTATTGTCTTATATTGATAATAACTTTTAGCAGTTAAGAAGTTATGAGTTCCCATTGGTCTCCTGAATTGTAACTAGAGCTTTAAAAACAATAAAAGTTTCTCCAGGTGTATATGTCCCACACGTCTGAAATAGAAGTGTTCCATGTACCATCTGGCTAGGCAACGATCATCATGGCTTCCAGGCAATCAAAAATAGCTTGTATTAATGTTATTGACCAGTTTGTAGAGAAGAAAACCTCCACAAAATCACTGCTGACCCATATAAGACAGAGCAGGAAGAATGTTGCAGACAAACTGCCTCTGATATCCAGCTCTGACATAGTTAATTATTTTACATTTTTACGACTGCGGACGTGTTTTCTCACTACACTGCAAACAGGAACGTTCTCCTCACCAGGAATGAGTCTTAATACCAAACTATTTAATTGGCAACGATAGCTAGCAGCGACACACTGCTCAAAATGACCAGCGGCAATGACCTGCAGTGTCTTTACTGCTCTCTCCACCTCAATAACTTTTGTACAGTGAGAGAAGAAATGGTGCAAATTGCCCAACTAGACTTGTTTTGGAGGCAAACTCACCCAATGGCAGTGCGGGTATTGAAAGCCTTTTGTCAAGAGAAGTGTGGCAATAGATATGCTTTGCTATAAAGGCTGTAACCCAGCATGAGCACAGATGGTAAATAAATGGAATCCTTAAGTAGTTAAAATAACACATGTCTCTCATCTTGGAACAGTAGTTCACTCCACATGAAAAAGCCTTTCCTAGCTTAAAAAAGGAATCTGTTGTCAAACAAAAGAATTATAGAGTACCTACCAACATGGCAGTTAGCAACAGATTGAATCCTGGTATCTGATTTCACATGGGAACTACAGTATGTACTATATATTCATTTGTTTAGTTTTTATTTTCATATAAAGAGTAACATGCTGACCAGTAAATGATTTACCATGCTTAGGATTTAAAAAAGTAAGATTTTTGGTTTAGCTTGGCTAGGCTTAACTTGAGACCTAGATTTTAATTCTACTTTTAGTACTACCAGAGATGCACCAGTCAATCTATTGGCCAATGGCGATACAACAAAAACACACTAATTTCAGCTGGCCAATGTTTCACTCTATAGTTATTTGTGACTCAACAGATTTTGCTTTTGGAAAAACAGACGTTTACAATTCTGCTTAACAAATACATTCAAATACTCGAAGCCTTTCAATTATGTGGGACTGGGTCAAAGGGTTAGCAGTACCAGCAGGAACTCCTAGGCTTCCCTCTGCCCAGACATTACCTCCTCTGGGGGGAGTCCAAGGCGTTCGAGGGCTGGTTGAGAGACGTATTCCCCCCAGCATGTCCTGAACTGTGTCCTGGTCCTCCTCTTGATGGGACATGCCTAGAAAAAAACACCCAAGGGAGGCATCCAGGGGTCATCATAGGCAAATATCTGAGTCATCTCAGCTGACCCCTTGATGTGGAGAAGGGTCTGTACTTTGTGACTGTCCTGTATGGCCTAGCTCCTCACCATATCTCTTAATGTTTTACCCTTTTTGGGACGATTTTCCAGTCGTGCAAGAATTTTTCGATCGGGCCGAGTTTCAGCTTGATAGTGCATCCTACGTCATGTAGTATACAGGGAGCAACGAGGGGCGATTAGCCTGTCACGACCACCTTCCGATCAGGAATTGTCAGGTCGGGAGAAACCCGAACATGTTTGGAATTCTGTCGACCGTCATAAGGTTGCATCAGAGCGTAGGGCCGCACAGTGTGAGAACATGCACCGTGAGCTGTGAACTTCTAAACACAATAAAATATCGCACAGTGTATGCCCAGCTTTAGGGCCCAGCTTGATTTCAGATGCTTGTGTGCAGGATCTCTGTCCTTCTTTCATGACAATAGGTAACGGTGAGAACGTAGAACGACCAGTATATCGAGAGCTTTGGCTTTTCACTCAACTCTCTCTTCACTGCACAGACAGCCAAATACTAAAGGGAAACAAAATTATTGTCTTTTTTTATGTTGTATAAAATAAAATTTTAAAACATAGTTTAGTTTAGTCACACAGGTGATGTTCACAGTTTGCTGTTTATGATGGTTCTAAGGGCATAATCCACAGTGTGTGTGATGAAAGTGCTTTAACTTTGATCACACACTGTTGATCAAAGTCACACATGTACACGTTTAAAATGGCAAAAACCGGTAATCCGTCAACTTCATATAATCTAAAGCTAAAGATCCGTTTTTTTTTTCCCTGTGTTTTATTCTGAAATGTTTTGGCTTGTCTTTTAGGTATGGCATCAGCCCTGAAAATATCATCCTGTATGGACAGAGCATTGGCACAGTGCCCACGGTAGACTTAGCATCGAGGTTCGAGTGTGCTGCAGTGGTCCTTCATTCTCCTCTCACCTCCGGCATGAGGGTGGCCTTCCCTGACACAAAGAAGACTTACTGCTTTGATGCCTTTCCCAAGTAAGTTACCTTACCTCAGGCACAAAACAGAAAGTTCATGCAGGTTTTTTTAAATTCAGCTATTGCAAAAAAAACATAACACATTTACGAATACAAAAAAAATTCCATATCTATATAGTTGTATTTCTGCTATATTCATGAAAAAACACAAAAGTTAAACCTAAGTTTTCAAGAGTTTTATTACATTATTTGTCCATTTCAAACTGTTTGCAAACCATTTAAGACTATTTTTTTTGTTTTTATAGCATTTGTGTAAAAGTGGATATTTTAAATGGTAAATATAAATTTAAAAATAATATTCAATAATAACTTATTATAGTCATTTAAATAGAATTCTATTCAGTTGTGTGTAAAAACAGAAAAAATCAACCATCATCAAAACAAAAGAAACTTTTTATTTATTTTTTTTGATTGTCCAAAAATAAGTCTTTATTGAAACTTTCCTCTGGTGAACCTCAGCTGCATAAATCTTTCACAATTAGATCTAGGCTGCCCAGAAATGTGCAGCCTATAGCTTTACAGTGTATAATGCAAATGAATTCTGGCAAAAGAAATAAAAATACTTCTATCCCTTGGGGATAAGATTAGATTTCATTAATTCTTTATCTCAGTTTTTCATTCAAAGCTTAAAAGATTAAAGCAACAATTCGTTACTTTTGTCCCCAGAGTAATTGGAGATATATTAAATAATTTATAGGTCGGTATACATCTCTTGAACTGTATCAATGTTCTGTGCAGGCTGCCCTTCTTAAAAACCCACCTGTGTAACTTAAGAGGGTTGCATCCATTACTAAATGATTAATGTGACTCAGAGCGCAGCTTTCTGCTAGTCTGAATGCCCCTTTAACAGGAGAACTAACGCTGCTCCAAGTCTTTGTTAGGCAACAAAATAGATTTCACATTTACCTGATTCTCTGTTGCAGGATCTAATCTAGGGGGGAATGTGGCTTTGTTTTTAAAACTAACTTCATGATTTCTCAGTCTGATAGTTCAAAGTGGTCTGCTGTCAGATTCTGCTGCCATGCAGCCTAAACCTGCAAGTTACAGGTCTAGTCCCCCTAGTGGCTAAAAGGTTTATTAATGCTTTAAGTAAATAAGCTTTTTATATATTTTTTTTGTTATGGTAACTTATGTGCTACAATAATTCAGAATATTTCAAGTTAATGTTTTAGCTTCTGGTTAAGTTAAGAATATTTATAGCTGGCTTTTCTATTTGCTAACTATATGCATGCAAAGTTGCATTAAAATAATAAAAAATTTATAACACACATTTGACTTCCCCTGGTTAAATCTTTTTCACATTTATTTATGTATTTTTTTTACTGTAGCCTCAGTAGGAACTACTTGCAAAACTCAATATCAATACAATATAATGTTCTTTATTAGAGAACAATCTAAAGATTTTTTCTTTTTTCAGCTGCAGTCTGTCATATTTGGAAGTCTTATCTTACTTTAAATATGACTGAAATGCACTTAACCCCATAAAGCAGTACTCCATAAATCTCTCAAATTGTCTTCCAGCATCGAAAAGGTTTCAAAGATCCCATCTCCAGTGCTCATTATTCACGGCACAGAAGACGAGGTGATCGACTTCTCTCACGGCCTTGCGCTGTTCGAGCGCTGTCCCAAGGCCGTGGAGCCCCTGTGGGTGGAGGGGGCCGGCCACAACGACATCGAGCTTTATAGCCAGTATTTGGAGAGGCTACGGCGCTTCATCAACCAGGACCTGGCTGCACAGCACGCCTGAGAAAAATACGCCTCTCCGTGTTTGTATCTCTGACACTGTGTATGTGCATGTGTGAAAGGGTGGGTGAGCATGTTTGCAATGGATGTGTGTGTGTGGGTGTGAATTTGGTCACATCTGTGTGTCTTTAAAGCAGCACAGCACCTACAGGTTCAACGCAAACACAACCTGTGTTCAGTTTCCTGTTTTTAAAGGTGACTAAATTTTTTAAAACCTCATTAGCTTTATACATTTGTACAGTGTTGGTGAAACACACACAAAAAAATATAGATAAAGTCATTTCAGAGTGGAAGTATTGAGCAGTTTCAAAGAAGATTTTAAACTTGGTGATGTAATTAGGTAGATAAGTGAGAGATCATGTCCAAAAAGGCACACAGATGTAAATCTGAAGGCTGGTGAATATGCTGCGTGTCCAAACAACTGGGCACACATTAGTATGCGTGTGTGTATGTGTGCAGAAATGAAGGACATCCTGATGACTTGGAAACTAGAATAGTGGAAGGCTAACGAGGACATCAATATTGATGTTACGTTTTTTTTTTTTTTCAAAACTTGTAATTTGTGTGTAATGAAGAATACCTCCACAGTGACTAGCTCTCTTTTCCAATGGACAAATACTGATCAAGCATGCGCCCCCTCCCACTAATTGTTTACCTTTTTGATGGATATCAGTCTGACTGCCAGGGCATTCCCAGGTTTTTTCTAACACTAACCTACTTTCTGTGGTTTTGGGGTTTGTTTCCAGCCTTCTTGTTCCAGTGCTTTTGGAATAGCCTGAAATCCTTTCACAGCTGTCTCATAATTTCCCTCATTAATTCTCAAAAGGCCAACTTCCATGTCATTGCCAGTCCTCAGCTTTCCACTAAAGCAGCAGAAACATGTTTCAGGGAATGAATTAGATTTTCCTATTTAAAGAATATTCATTTCCTAGTTCTATTTGAAGTGCACAGCTGCTTTGCCTTTTTACCATCTTATTCCGAGTAGATGATCTAATAGGATTTAATTAGAAATTTGCAGACACTTCAGGAAGTGGCTGTTCCTGAACACGAACCAGTCAAGTAGATAACACCTCATAAAAGTCCAGCATGTCTGACGTGGAAGGGTGGTTGGTGTGTGGAGGTCTGGGCAGAAGTTTACTTGCATTAATGATGCTTGGACGTTCTGTAAAAAATAAGGTTTAAACTATTCTTGTTTCAGGGTGGAATGGGACAAAGTGGAAGCTAATTTTTTTAATTTTTATTTTTTTAAAGGATTTAGAAATAGCTTCTTATTCATTGTTCATGTAAAATATGCTGTAGTCAGTTAAAACACGTTTACGTCTTTAAAAAGCTTGCTCCAAAATCATGGCTGAATATTTTAAAAACTCTTTTCAGATCATTTAAAGGTATTAGTGTCTTATTACAGACCCAGCTTTTAAATATATTCCATTATTTATTCAGTACTTGGTTTTTTAACCAGGTTTGAGGTCCGACCCATTTCAGAACCGTAATGTTAACGCCTGTTCTTTTAACTTGATGCTGGGGTAAAATGTCAAAGCACGAAACAACTCCACATTTCAACCATAAATCTGTTAATATCTGGTTAGAAGTAAAAGAAATTGGAGTTAATCCCTCATTTTCATTATCCTAACCATTTTGATCAATGTGCAGCATGATTGGCTCATCAGTTTGGTTCAGTGTGTAAAAGTTTTTTTTTTTTTTTTTGAGGCGTCACTTTGACTCATTCAAACATTATTTTAACAACTTTTCCTCCTCTGACCATGAACTGTTCTGATGTGAAACAATCAGCTTATCCATCTAGACATCTGCAAATATTGATATAAAGTCATTTCAGTGATACTATTTTCAGCAGCTTTCTCTTGCAAACAAATTCATTGTTTTCTGATTGACAAACTAAACAAATGCAGATGGTTTTTCCAATACCAAGTCAGAATTGTAGCTTTATGGTAACTAAAATGATTATAAGTTCATCCCATTATCCAGTGTAAGTAGATATTTGAGCTTTGTGCAGCTAGTGTAGTTCGTGTTTTGAAAAAGTGAAGTCGTGTGTTATATATCCTTCCACCCAGGGAAAAGAATGGTTCGAATGCATTATTAAAAGTTTAGAATAAATCTAACATTTCTTTGAATGCTTTACATGTAAACTTTTAACAGGTACTCAAAATGTTTTCGTTTTTTTCCCCCCGTTATGGTTTGCTGTGAAATCAACCAGCTGTCTCCAAATAATCCTGTCCCTTCAGTTTGCCCCTGGTAGAAGTGCAGTAAAAACGTTTGTTTAAACAGCCCGACTTGCAGCTTAAGGTGAGCCCTTTCAGAGCTTAACGCTTCGGTCCACCTGATCCAACAAAACACCGTGAATAACTTCCATTTCTACTCACCTATACCATGCATAATCTGAGCTCCGCTGGTTAGCGCTGATCATCCTCTAACATTTCTGAGTTGCCCATCGCAGGACGTTTACTAGTTGAATTTTAGTGTTGATGTAATTAAGTTGTTAAATGTTTTGGATGTTTCATAATCATGCGTCTTGATGTTGGGACTAACGATGTGATGGAGATCAGGTGCCAGGATGGGATCTAGCTTCCTGTACCTTCCTGTTTGGTTTCCTCCTCTGGCCCTAAATGTACAGAAGCTCTCTTGTGGCTGGCAGCACGCTGCAATGTCTGACACAAGCCATACTTGAGCCTCGTCACTGTTGGTGTGGTGCAGGTTCCACCACACGTACGCACACACGCACATTGACATACACACACAAACACAACATACACACTATATATATTTACACATTTATATATATATATATATCTGATCTAGCATGAAAAAGCAGGTCTTAAGTTCAGCACTATTGTACAAAGCATCCAAAGTGTAACAAGGGTATAAAATGTACACGTGTGTCTTTTTTGTTACCATTGACTGTTTTAAAGGAAAGCATCATTGGATGCAGATTTTCCTGTTTGGAGAAGTACTATCAGGTCCTGCTGTAGTACAAAGTGTTTGCTGCACAGGAGATCCATCTACTTCAGTGATAGTGGCTGCGTTGCATCGAAGGGAACATTTATTAACCGGCACTGACCTGATTGCTCCTTTTTGGGAGCGCGAGTGGGTCTAGGGAAGCATCAGAAAAACATTTTCTGAACACCACTCACCTCCTGTCTGCTCAAACAGGGGCTTTTTTTCTGTTCTCATCCTGTGCTTTGTGTATATGATATTTGAATTATTGAAACCTGTTACATTTTCAAACTCAGAAACGGAGTCAGAAGAAGTTGGGAGTTAAAAAAAATTATGAATCGCTCTCTTGAAGTAAAATTATTGCTCAGTTTTCTGACGGGGTGGGGGGGTCTGGGAGACGTTACTGGGTTTGAAACGTGCCGTTTATCGATGCACCATTATGGTTGATATGTCGTATCCTCTGGCCTTGAATGTTTATTGACGGGGGAGGGAGGGAGGGTGGGTTAAGCAGTAAAAACTGTATGCATGTCTGTTGTGTTTTGCAGAGCAAATGATTGGATGGAGCATAATCTTTTGTGTTGTCAATGTGAGGATTAAGCTGAATTCATGACGTTGAACATTAAAAATCCCCCCCAAAAAAAAAAAACAAAAAGGGAAAAAAAAAATAAGTACATTTATCTGAAGTTTTTTAATGCCGATACTAACTGATGTAATGTTGATTTTTGTGCTAGAGGTTGACTGGGTAAGATGTTGGGGAGGGGGGGTGTAGAACCTATTGGTAGACCGTTTATATGCTTACTGTACTTACCTGTTCTTTTCTTTGTATTATAATTTGTAATTTTATGTTGCCTTTTTTGACCTGAGAATATGATGTACTGAAACAAATTCAAGGGACTGAATCTTGACCTTTTTATGGAGAACAAAATAAAATCACTTAAGTACAAAATGTGAAATCGGGTGCTTTGAATCATTTATGGTTTATAAGTTAACATTTATTACACAAACTGTTCATTTACATAGAAATGCAATTATTTGTGTGCACATTTAAAACTGCTGCCTTGCTGGAAGTGAAGAATGCTGAAAATGCTAAACTGTTAAGTTATATTTAAATAATTAAATCATTAAATGCAGGTAAACAGAACACATCAATTTAACATTTTTAGGCTTTTTTTTTTTTTTTAAACAAAAGCTTATTCATTTAGATCATGATTATTATGGGGAGGGGGGTGTAAAAAACAAAAAACAAAACAAAAAACATCCTTTTAGCTTCTGCATTTTAATAGGTTTTATGGTCTAACTAGTTCTGGGCATCAAATGCTATTGTCACCCTAGGTTTGGTGGATCTGTAGGGGTTGACTGCCCTCTGCTGGTCAGATCATGTCACTAACAAAGTATAGAAATTCCATCCACAAAAAGCTTGATACAGTACATGCAGTATTTGGGGCTAGAGGAAAAAAAAATCAGTAAGGTTATATAGCAGTTCAGTTGAACTTTAGTCTGTTGTGAGGAATTGTCAAACATTGTTTATCTGTAAGAAGGGACATAATCTCAGTCAAGGAAGTGCTTTAGTTCCTGCAACCAGGAAGGCTTTATCTGCTGTCTCAGTGTCATTCCTTAGTTTACATTAAAGCCGTCTAGTTTTTCTGCACTTGGAAAAAAAATCAGTTTTGCTATAAGGTGCTCAGACAAATTTCAATATGTTATTATCATACTTTAGTGGCCTCCAAGAACTCCCACCCCTATTGTTTTAATTAAAAAGTTGACCATACACAAAGGCATACCTTGTTGGCGACGAAGACCTTTAAAATGCAGATTGAGCTATTCACCTACTGTTTTAATTTGTTTATTCTGATGCCTACCTACATTTAACAAACAAAAACTGAAATTTACTGTTGGTACAGTGTTTTTTTTTTTTTTTTATTATTTACAATCACAGTTGTAATTATTTTTGGCTCCAGTCGGGGTGGGGGGAGGGCTTGGAGGAAGTTTGAAAAACGGAAAGTCTTTTGTAACCACAATGACGATTTATTTTGTTCTACCTCTGACTTTTCATTAAAAACATTTTGAAAAAAAATAAATAAATAAAGTCGTCTAGTTAGGCTTTAATGTCAACTGAGGAAGATTCAATATATATTATGGATGAAATATGCACACTAAAATTGCATCTGTTGTTTTGGCTATATTCAAATTAATCTACTTAATTTAACATCTATTTTACAATGAAAACATACATTTGTTCCATTTACATAATTCATGCAGTATTGGGTTAAAACATAGGAGGTCTTTCACAGGATTTACTTGGTAGTAGAAAGTCTTGTTACACCTTGATACTGGTAGTCCAGGTCTAAACCCGGTTCAAACAACCCGGAAGTGTCATTATCCTTAGCTGTAGAACATCCGAATTAAATACTAGTTTACCTTCTGTTGTGAAAGTATCTGTATGCAATACTGAATAAAAATATTTTCCACATAAAAAGGAGTTTTGTACAAAATTCACAAGGTTCCTTATTGAGATGCCGCTAGATGAGGTGGTTATGTCTCCTGGTACCTGGTGGGGGGAAAAAAACGAAGAGGAAGAAATGAGATGAAGGGTTGAGTACAATAATCTTTAACTTGGAAAATATTAAATGCAAACATTGTTAAAATAAATTTTATGATATATGGTTGCAGACAAAAACAAAAAACAGAATTTTCCCATCTTACACTTCTTTTAAATCTGCAGGTGTAAATGCTCAACTTAAAAGAGAAAAGTGCAAGGTCTGACACCAGATTCACTGTTGGGATTTAATAGTTTCCATTTTGTTGTTTCAGCTTACCAGTACCCACATTACACCCTGGTAGGTGTGATCGTCTGGAATGCACTAACTTTTAACGTTTGCCGTCAACCAGTAAGGCTACTTCCCCCATATCTTACTGTGATCAGCAGGTGCTAATTGTTTAAAAACCGGTTTGAGCCAACTCACTTTTTTCTCCCTAACCTCCTTCTTGTGTTCGGGTGGCTGTACTCACTCTGTGTATTGCGAGGCCAGGGCTCCCAGAGAGCTAAGCTGCTTTTCCAGAGCCGTGATCCTCAGCCCAATGTAGCCAGATACCAACAGCAGCAGCAGCATTCTGGAAAAAGAACAGAGCATATCATGAATGCATGCCTTGGATTCTGCAAGCTGCACTCAGAGATATAATTTTACAAGCAGGGTGAAATGCCTGAGAGAATCATGCTGATTTTACCGACACTAAGGTATCACTTCTATCTAAGCAGAGCACGAGTAAAAAAAATCTTGTTATATATCATCATCACAGGGTTTCTTCCTCGCTTCAGCGCTCTAAGCTGATCCAGTAATTCAACATACCAGCTGAGGTGTCTAGGCTTGTTTCTGAATTCAAAAATACATCTAACATAAAGCAAAAAAAAAAATGTTATTCTTTACAGAGAAGAAAATAGAGAGCAGTCTAACAGAATACTCTCTATTTTATGTAAGGCTTTTCCTTTTACAGAAGATCTGAGCTTCCTCAGCTAAGTGCTCATAATGTCTGGTTCTGCATAACATGAAGCCTGTCAACGTAATAAAAGTTCAGTAGGTAAAAAAAAATCTGAAGGAGTTGGAGAATGTTGACATGTGACATGCTAGCCGTTTGGCTTCCAGGTTAAACCATCTCATTTTCAAGTATTTTATGAAAATGCTTGTTTCTACATCAAAATAAAGTATGGCAACAGTGAAGTAGCAGAAAAGGGGAAACACTTAAAAATGTATGCACCTACGTGAAAGTTTACAGCCCCCCTCAATTACCTAATTATTAGAGTCCTGATATATAAATGCAGCTGTCCTAGAAACAGGTTTTTTTTTAAAGAGGCAAGGCTAGGCAAGGCAAATCTATTTGTATAGCACAATTCAGTACAAAGACAATGCAAAGTGCTTTACATGATTAAAATATAGGAAAATAAAACAGAATCAAAGCAAGTAGGAAAAAAAATCAAGAAACAAAAAAGAATATTAAAAACAATTGGACTAAAGAAAATAAAAAAGTTGAACTAATGATGTTTCAGTTGAACTGTTTAACTAGAGCAGTCGAAGGCCCAGGTTTCGAAGAGAAATTTGGTAAAAATAAAGAAATTAAAAGCAGCATCATGAGAGGTGACCCTGCAGACAGGTCAGAGAGAATACTGAAAAATTTAAATATTGCAGGCTTTGAACATCAGTCCATCACATGAAAATGGAAAAACGAAAACAAAAAAATTGGACAAATGGGATACATTGGGGCAAAAGGAGGCAATGCCCCCTTAACAAATGCCTTGCCCTCTCAAATCAAACCATAATGTGGGTTCTTATTATGTTCAAATTAGATTAATGATACAGTGGATCATCTAAATAAGTGGTCCTCCTAATTGTCAATCATTCTGGTGATATATTTACGTAAGGTCGTCCTATGTGTTCGTCCCCATTTTGACTTACCCGTGGCGAGTCTGACATAGTGGAAAAATTGCAAATTGACAAGTATGAGCGATGCAAAAAACATTTTTACTACGCAAGCAACTTTCAAACAGAGTGTACATGAAATGGGCGTATTTTATAGGCATTCTCTCTCGATTGTGGGAACAGGGTTGTGCACATGGATTTTTAGAGAAAAACAGATTGCACGTTAGCAGAGGGAAATATTAACATCGCAACTAGAACTGGCAAAAATCTGTTAAGGTATTCAGTCAAATTCCTATTTCTTTTACATTATTTTATTTTAGCAGAAAATAAATCCATTGAGATTTGGTATCTCTCTTACAAGGATGTCCTGGCCTTTGTTTGTGACGTTCTTTGAAAAAAACAATCTCTCTAATCTTTCTAATTAAACTAAAGTAATGAGGGGAACAACATGTGACCTGATTCTAAGTAATAAATTGTTTCTGTTCTATAGAGAAACTGAAAGCAAATAAAAATGTTTGACAAGCCTTTTAGGCAGCTACTTACTGGAGAAGATGAATTTGTGCCTTAGGGTTGGAATGTAAATATGTCAGTTAATCAGTGATGTAGGGAGGGTTAAAGTATGTGATTTTTAATTAAACTAAAGAAAGTTTACTCTTGAAAAGCCCAGCCCTACAAAAGAGCATATTTTACTCTCTAGAGAGAGTAAAATCTTCATTTTGAGTATCTGTTACTCAGACGATTCCCCTGTGTAGTGGTCAGAACTGTAGCAGACCTCTGTAGTATTACTCACAGGAACAGGAAGATGTAGACGACAACTCGGAGACTCAGGATTTCTCTGGAGAACAATAATGGCCCCACTTTTTCAAGGAACCAACACATCCATGACCCAGCTGCCAAACAGAATGAAACCATCAATAATAATGATAATAAAAAAAAAATATTAAAGGCACACAGTGTCATTGCGAGACTTCACATTTATAAACCAGTTGCTCGCTCTTTAGGCAGTAATGGGGCTAACAAGTCTGTACCTGACAGGGAAGTTGTGTAAATAAAGAAGTAAAGCCCATGATCCAGCATTAAACCACACATAAATATTTGATTCCAAAAGGGATAAGATACAAATAGCAGAAAACAATATAAATGGTCACTGAAGATCGCAGTAGAGAGAGAGAGACAGACAGATAATTCAGTAGAGCAGGACGGTGGGGTTCTATTGAGCAGCTGCATCATTTGCCCCCGTCTGGTTTTCGGTTAGTTTTGCGGTACATCCGCACAAATCCATTCATGTCTGCTCATCACCCTTGGTGAAATTCTATTTAGGCTCAAAAAGGATGATCTTAGCACCATCAGGATGGATCAATTGGTGTAAATAACCTTATTTTATAATTATTACAACGTGGCAAAAAATGTGACAATGCCCCTATAACAGAATAGCTCAAATCCAATCCAATTTTATTTGTTAAGCACTTAAGAACAACAACAGCAGACCAAAGTGCTGCATAGAAAAAACAAATAAATAAAACATAAAACAGTACAGATAAAAACTAAAGAGCTAAAACATGGGTGAAAATAACATTCACAAAATCAAATCAATAAAATTGGGTAAAAGATAAAAGGAATAAAAGATAACAAAAAAAAAAAAAAAGAGTGAAAACTTTTTTAGGCTTTCTGAAGAGCAGCTGACCAGCCGAACCCAGAGAGCGAGTAGGTCTTTAAGGATGTAGATGCTCAAAGGGGTACAGTGATGCAAGCCCATTGCGGGATTTAAAAGCAAATAAAATAATTTTAAAATGAATTCTAAAATGTATGGGCAGCCAGTGGACTGAGGGTAAAATGGGGGAGATGTGCTCATACCCAAGTGTGCCAGTTAAAAGGTGTGCTGCAGCATTTTGAATCATCTGGAGACTGTTAGATGAAGGAGGCACTAACCCCCACATAGAGGGCATTGCAATAACTCAGCTGAGTGGTAACAAACCATTTCAAACTGTTGCCTTGAAAGAATTGGCTTTATTTTGGCCAGCTGCCCCAAATGATTAAAACTTGATCCAACAACTGTCCTGATCTGGCTATCAAACTTCAGATCAGCTTCCAGTTTTACCCCCAGGTTAGTGATGACTGGTTTGATATGTTGGGCCAAAGAGCCCAGATTTATTCCAGTGGTGTCACCAAAAACCATCACTTCAGTATTTCTTTCATTAAAATTATAAAACTTCAGAGACATCCAGGCCGTTTCTTTCTTTTTAAGAGGGACATAAGTTTGACTGTCATCTGCATAGTAATGTTAAAACAATCCCATGCGATTTAAATATGGGAGCAAATAGAGAGAGAACAAGATAGGACCCAGAACCGAGCCCTGGGAAACCCTACATGACAAAGGAGCAGAGGAGGAAATAGAGTCACCAAGGCTGAAACAGAAAGTTTGATCAGTCATTTACTCTGATTTACTCACCTTCACTATTTTCGTTTATGAAGCTGCTATCTTGTGTCGAGCTCCATGAGTCGTTTGCATCGGTACCTTCATCCTCTTTCTGAGCGACGCTGGTGTTAAGATCAACGTGGTCAGAGCCGTCCTCTAAACTAGAGAAGCTGGAAGCCTGTAGACGAGCATATGGGAAGGCTGAGAATCATTCTGTGTTCCTTCTTGATTCATACAGCCTAAAGTTTCCTGGGCTGTAGACTCACCACGTCATGCTCAGCTTCTAACTCTAGAGAGGACAGGTAAGGTCTCTCCTCCTTTGGACTCTCCTCCTAATGCAAAAAAAAAAAAAAGTTTTTAAAAACGATCTGACGAATCGATGTGCTCATGAACTGGGAGGACATTTAGTTTACCTGACAGCAGAGGCTTTGGAGGAGTCCATAACAGAGACTATAGTTCCTCAGTGACGCAAAGAAATACTGAAAGACAGAGAGAAAGAGTTCATTGGGACTAAAGTTGGTGGATGAGTTTTCTCTGCAAAGCTAAATATAATTTTCACTTTTTTATCTGTAATTGATTTGTTTAGTTAGAGCTAAAACAATGGAGTCTGGTGTTATTTGCTCCTCTTGATACAGAAATGAATTTCTAACCTTGGTAGACTGACGTTAGATAAGAATTTGCACCGCCACCACCAACGCTCCCACAAACATACATTATTTTATATCTACATTAAAATTCCAAACTGCAATAAAATGAAAGAAAAGCAACTCAAACAGATACTAGACTCATAATAAGTGGCTTTCATCCTAACTATTAAAGCACTAAAGTTCTATAATTCAAAAAGTAAGGGTTAAAAATGAAACCAATTCCATAATACTCCATAATGTTTAACTCATTACCATTAGATGTTTCTTCTGGGATGACTTTATATTTTTCTCATACACAAAGCACTGCAGGGTTTAAAGTTCTCTGAATAGAAAACTAAACAATGTGGTTCTGAATGTGTGTGCAGAGCCTGACCTTCTCTCCACTGGATGTTTGTACAGATAGCACAGACAGAGTTGGGTTATGTTTCTTTATCTTCTCTATTCTTGAAATAGCAATCACCACCTGGAATAGGACAGAGCAGGTCAATTCTGGATGCCATACTGCATTTGAGTCATACATGAGCTGATCGAGCAAGCTAAACCTCACAAAGGTAAACTAAGCCAATATAAAAAGCAGTTTTATAAGTGATGGCTCCTTTTATCAAGGGAAGAAAGTATCCAGACCATCCAGGCTGTAAGTGAAAAAGCCATTTCCTACAATACTCAGTTGAGCCTCTCAGAAGGAATGGTTTTATTGTTTATCAATAGTTCCTTTTAAACCCCTGTGGAAAAGTGTAGCCCATTATGCTTTGCTCTTTGTTTCAATTGTTGTTGTTTTTTTGTCTTTGTTATGGTCTTATGGTCAAGTCAAAGAATCTTAAATCATATTTGAGGTAAACTTACTAAGCCAGTTGAAAAACCCATGGGACCTAATTATATTTCTCTTTGCTCTGCTGCATAACTGGGCATTTATTGAAGCTTTAGAATGCAAACTGATGGATGAACATTGTCCTGCAGGATGTTTTGCTATAGAGTAGTGGATGTTGGACTGGGTTCCTTTGTAACCTACTGTTCAGATAGTTAAAAAATTTTAATAATGGTAGAGTGACAATAGATATGGGAAAACAGCTGAAATATGCAATGGTAAAAACCTTTATCACTGCACCAAACTTTATCTGTTTTCAATCTTTTAACTTGACTTCATTTGAAAAAAAAAAAAAATCCCTCCTACCAGTGAGGGTTTTTATCAAATCAACATTTTTTAAGATGTTTTTTTTTTTTTAGGTTAAAGGTAGATTAAGCAACAACTAATCATAAGCTGACCCACATTACTATATTAAAAATGAATGTCTTTTTGGTTAGTCTGATGCACTATGAACATAAATAGAGGTCTAAGAACATTAGTTACTTATGATGGTATTCTCCGTATAAAGGATTTTAATTAGTAAATTACATCACCGAAATTGATTTAAGTTTCTGTACACAAAGATTTTTTTGCTCTTTGATGCTTTTTCTTTTCTAAATGAGATCAAAATGATTTTTTTTTTATCATGTATATATCACATATATTTGATCAAAAATGCATTAAATAAGTTACCTTGGTTTCTTTAAGCAACACAGACGAATAGAAACACAGATTGTTGTCCGACACATAGAGTTTTCCATGATACAGAACTTCTCTCTGCAAGGCACAGGTGAATGCTGCAACAACACAAGCATAAAGAGTCACCGTGGCAACATTAGCACCTCTGCTAAAGCATTTATCCACACAAAGTGTTTCAGCTCTGCATCCTCTGTGGAGGATTTGCCAATCGAACTAATTAAGAGGCTAATGATTGGGAAATTAAGACAGCAGAGATAACTGGAAGAAAAATCCAGATTGTGAGGTGATTTCCATAATCAGTCTCAGTAAAAAAGTAACAAACTCTGATGGTGTGACCACTCACCATGTGTCAGATTTTCCTCCTTAGGGATCTCTGGAAACAGCTTGTGGAAGGTTTTATTGTACTTTATAAAGCTCTAAGGGGGAAAGAAAACACAGCTGAGATTTGTGCATGTTAGTTACATTGTTTAAAGGCTGTTCAACACATAAAATGGGTTCTTTATTAGAACTGAATCGAAGAGGAAGCAGAAACACTAGTTACAGTATGGTTCTTAGATCTTGATATAGGTCAAGCAAACATCCCACGTATCTAAGATCTCTACTACCACCTGAAGGGTCACTACCTGATTTTAGATATCAGGTAGTGTAGATATCTAGCCTGGATAGTGCGTCATTGTTTTATTGTTCACACAGAGATACAGGCTACCTTCCAGTATTGTAACCTGATGTACACAAAGGGTCTCATTTATAATAAACTAAAGTGGAGCTGGTCAGAGGTAAATTACTTAATCTTAAATACTGGATACATACACATTTGAACATTGCTTTAAAAAAAAAAAAAAAAAATCGAAGTACCCAAATAATCTGGGCTGCACTCTTACTGGGTAATCTTCTGTTTCCTTCCAGTGTCATTATATACTTTCATTTTTCTATAACAAAAACTTGAATTGAAGTTTAAAGTCCAGCATTTATATGTTTTAATATATATATTTTTTTACATTAAGTGATGAAATTCAATTTTTCAAATTCCACATTAAACCTCATTTTGTTTTATAGTCTGAAAATGTTTATAAAACAGGAAGCCCCAAAACAAACCTACAGGTTTTTGACTAGATGTTCAAGTTTTCAGAAAAAAGAACATTAAAATTAATTTACTGTTCATAAAATAGTTTTTGAATGGGAAGGAGCCTTGCAAATAATGTCAACTTTAGATGCCACACATATATATATGCAGTTACAAAATAACATGATGTTCTCCATCAGGGCATATTGGAAAAAAAATGTATTAATCTGAACTGAATCAGGGCTAGCAAACCAGAGTGTTATAAATACGAACTTGGCTTGGATGCAGAATTAAAGGCCTGCAGGTCTTTTTACATCTACAGCCCTATTAAGGTTGGATAACAGCTTTTCATTTAGGCTAAAATATGATTTTGACTGTCCATTTGCTGAACTTGGGGTTTTTGTCCAAGTGTGTTTCTGTGTTTGTGATTATTAAAGATGAACAACGTGAAGATTTATCATTTAAACACCTACCCATGTTTGGAACTAGGGCATTTTAGTCCAAGGTAACTCTGGAGGAGCTGTGGAGATTCACAGCATACGTGTGAGAATACTTTCACAGGACAACTGTTAGTTGTGCCATCTAGAAATCTGGCCCTTTTGGAGGAGTGGTCAAAGAAACCATTGCTGAGGGTATACTGGTTGTAGTACTAATTTTTAAATTCTGAATCTATTATAATAATAATATGATTTTAATCTGTCTTCCATTTTAAGTTCAAGTCAGTGTCTGCACAGAAAAGGGTAAGGGTATGACAAAAATAAATATTTATGTACCTTTGTTATTGAATGGTTTATAATTTATTGAAATGCGTCAAGCTTAAAAATAAGACCCGAGTTTTTTTTAATAGAATTAATACAAACTGTAGCCAAAAAATGCTTTTAACATTTAACATAATAACTTTCTTTGGCGTTTTGGTTTTCAGCCTTGGTGTCCTAAATTTCAGACATTTTTTTTTCATTTCGGTGCATCCCAACTTGTTTGTGAAGTACTAGTAAGTTTAGAAAATAAAATCTTTACATTTTTCTATAACATAAATGCTTAAACAGGTATTTAAAAAGCTTCTAGTATCGTAAATCCCAACTAGACCAAAATATCTGGGCAATAGTTCTTTATAGCTTTAAACGGTCATGCAATCAGTTTGAATAATTGCTTCCTTTTGCAAAGAAAATGCTTCAACATACTGAGTGAATAAAAAAAGTTATGGATAGGCTTTTGCAAAGAAAATGCTTCAACATACTGAGTGAATAAAAAAAGTTATGGAGAGGCTTACATGAGAGATGAGGAGCCTGTCAGATCTGCCAATATAATCTTCAGCCATGATGTGATTCCTGAAGTAATAAAGAATTTAGTTTAATTTGGAAGTACAGCATCAAAACCTTACAATAATTTCTCCTCTCTCTTTTTATTTTCTGTCTTTGTGGTGTTCAATGGGCTGTGTACAATACCTTAAGCTTATTCCAAAGCTTTGATTTAGCTGCCTGGCTTCAGATTCAAAATTTCCTAAACTCAAGCTCCGGCTTGCTTTCTTACAGTTGTCTCTTCTCTTGACAAGAGGGGTTAAAGAATCCACGCTTCTAGTACAGGAGAAAAAAAATGTCAAAGGGATGATCCAGCTTTCTGAATGAGCCTCACACAATTCAGATCGATATGAAACAAGGTAAAGAGATGAAATCACTGATGGGAACACAATGTGTAGCCATTTTTACAGGCATCAGCATAGATTAAAGTGGTTCCAGTGTGCTGACAGTAAATACCATTTCATTACCTTCAGCTTTTCTGCTCTGTCTCAGAAAGGAGAATTGGTTCTTTGTTCACAAACACCTTGTTAAAATTGTAAA